TTATGCATTTCAGCATAATTCGGCGTTTCTTTGAGGCAGAAGTTTAACAGTTTCAGACTGATTTCGGTTTTTTTTGGTCTCAAATTTAGAGTATTTTTATCTGCTTTGAATTGGCCTGTTATGTTAAAATCCTTTAAATTTACTAATTTCGTCGCCGACACCCTCTGCTCATTTTTTATATTTTTCTTCTTCCAAATCAATTGGACGATTCTCATCTAAAGGGGAGAAACTTACATAAGTTTTTCCTTGTTTTCCATTCAAAAAGCAGAAAAGGCAAAAAAGTAGGCAAACGAGAAAGCAAAAATTACTGGCGGTTGGACAGCTAAACCGTTCTTCCCCTTAAATTTTACAGCAGTATAGGAAATACTGTTAACAGCATTACTGCCATGACGTGGCGCAATGATAAAACGAAGGCGGTGTAGAAAGTAACAAAAGAAGAAGGAAGTGTACGAACATCGTTGTCCTTCTCGTCGGCCAACTTTGAGTCTTCAGCATTTTGCAGAGCAGCTACAGCGGAAAACGATACTCCAGCAACGGTCGCACCATCATCCAAATATGCACCAGTTGCTGACGATGAAGCGGATACTGCCCCGGTAGAAACAACTTCCGCCTTTTTAGCTCGCTTTGTATCTCTCTCCAGGCGACTTTTCTGATCATTCATCAGTTCCTCCAGTTTCGGAGTCAACTAAAACACTTGTGGTCATATCAATAACGGATTTCAAACACCATAACCAAGCATAAAAAAAGGATTTTTTAAAGTTTACGAGGGCAATGCACACTAAAATGAAGGGACTTATGAGTGATAACAGAACAAAACAAATTATTAAATAATACGAACTCAATATTAACCGAACACTGACAAGGCCATAAGTAACAGGATTTATGGGAATGCTTGAACAGTATCACTTGAATGATTCAAGTTCAAAACAGAGAAGGATAAAGAAGTTGTCAACTGTAGTGGTGGTGGGGAGACGCAATAAAGAAATCGCACACCGCCAAAGGACTCAGTGCCCTAAATGAGGGTAAGAACAAAACAGGGCATATCCCAGATGAGGCCTCATCTGAACTAAATTTATAAGGGGCCCAATTTCAGCTTAAACCTAACCGGATCGTACAGATAACTTGTTTATCGAGTCATTTTTCTCAAAAAATTAATAACTATCATACAAGATTCTAAATAAATTAAACCTGTCTCCCTTGCCCCTCCCCCTCACTACTTAAACTTCAATCAACAATCACTACAACCTCTTTTGACTTAAATCACCAATCACAATAAGTATAATCACCAAAATCACCTCCATTTTATGGCATGTGATACGATTTCTTACATGAAGCCATACTCTGGGTTCAACAACAGCAGATTTTACAGGGTGCTTCTAAGCACCTGATTTTGCTCGTACATGAGTGGGGGACATTCCCCTAAAGTTTCAGCCTTCTAGCTTTTCCCGTTCCCGGGTTAGTGATTTTCGCGCCAAAACTTTCACATGTGCCAATTTGAACTTTGACGTGTATGCATGTGAGAAATAGGGTTGCGCAAAACTGAATTTAAACGCTTTGTGAGACGCGGGCAAGAAACATTCGTAAAGTTTCCGTTTTCTAGCTTATTGTCCAACCTCAGACAATACAACAGCACTCTGCCCCTTCTCAGCGTCAGTAACATTAGGTCGCCATATTCCCGCAATCAGTATTACCCCTCGTTTTCCCTTAGCCAACAGCTATCGCCCATTGGAAAGGTTGTCAGTGGGCTCTCTTCCGAAAGCTGCCTAAAATGCAAACTACAAATTCTTCGAAGTCAATCCTTTCTCCCCAGCACTCTGTCTCTCAGATGTAAATGCAGTAGTTCGCACGGTAGCACGTATCAAAAGCAACCATCCACTGGAAAAGCTGTGGATGGCTCTTACTCTGTATACTGCTTATAACCAGACTGATTCAGACTCCCGATTACTGCTAGCACCAAATTACTATCGAAATTCATAAGTGAATAGTAGAGGGTCTAGCACTTCCACTTATGTACTTGGGCAATCAATTTTCAACTTGACATACGTCGCTTTGTTAATGTTCTGTTCAAATAGCTACTTCCTCCTCTCTATAATTTTCCACTTTATATTGCAATTTTATAATCTTTTCCAACTGCTCCAAAATTTGATATAATTAAAAAATCTCTCTCCTATCTTTCTCTTCTTCTTCATTCTTCCTGCCTTCCATTCCTTTCTTTTTCCAATCTTCTCTGAACACAGCGGCCGTCATACTGACGAGGTCCAGTCGCGGTGTTAAGCTAAGACGTATATAACTTAATGGACCGAAACATCTCAACTCTTACACACTTATTTTTCCTACACCAGCTATATTTCTACATCTATACATACACAGTTAGTTCTAGTCCTGCCCTATTTAAGTCCCTAATATTACTCGTATGCTACAACCATGCAAGAACCAGCTTACCAGTCCGTCCTGTTGCAGAACACAAAGCTTTTCATAAGAAACCACAACAAAACTTACAAAGCAGGAAAGTGAGAGCAGATCGACAATTCGCTCATCGCAAAGCACCGCAGCTACTTTGTAAAGAGATAATGGAGTTTCACCGGAACGCTGAAATATTCGATAAAACAAATTCTTCCAGTTAAAAACACCTTAAAGACGCATTGAACCGAATGAAGCACGGTCTGGCAACAGGAAAGCACAAGCTGAAGCACTGTGAGGACAAAAATTAAAGCATTTTTTTGGATAGACAAAAATTAAAGTATTTTTTTGATAGGAAAATTGCTTTAAACGAATTTATGAATTCCATTCCGTCGCGTAGACTAAAAGAATGATCCAAGGAATGATGTTCAGGCATATTAGAATTAGTGCAAATCCCGTCAACGAATACTACAGGCCACTATATATATCATGAGCAAGGTATGGTTACAATGAAACGAAAATTCATGCCCGCCAAAAACAGACAGAAGAAGCAAAAAAGACCTCTTGTGCCAAAGAACCTGGAACTTATTCGTTCAAAAAAAGCTCTGCAAATCATTATTTTGTACCACTACCTAAGCGGCCCTCAGTGAAATGTGTCTAAACAAATAGGATAAATCGGCGAATTACAAAATTCGTGCAGTGATTTGAATACAATTTCTAACAAGTTCCAAACTTTAAGCTGTTCTGCACGAGGAGATAACGCATTCAAAATGTGTTACTTTTGAAAAGCAAACGCCTTCAGCCATTCATTTTGCGATTAAAACTGCCCCGCGTAAGATGATCCCGTTATGACACCGTTTCAAAGGGCTCTTCAACTACCGTTAGTAAAGGAGACCTTACATTAGTAAAAACTGACCTGATAAAAAGTGAATTTGAATCCCAAGATGCTGCAGATATCATCGCTGTCTGCTTTGAATTTTGTCAGCAGTTCAATGAAAAACTTGCGCCGACTTAGCGATGCTTCGAAGCACTCCAGGATGATATCAATCACTCGATTCGGATCCAAATTAAACTGTCCTAAATGAGGCATTGAAAATAGCCCCCTGTTTACTTACTTTGTCCGATAACAACAGCACAAAAACTATCGTAATAACCGGTTTCAGGATCTGATGTAAGTAGCATTAAAAAGGAATGGACAGTCGTCTATTTGCTGGGATACTTCCACATTTTCGTTGCAGCTATTTTCGTCCGGTCAATAACTCCGTCCTGGCCCCCCTCTGTTACGACCTCCAAGACTTAAACCAGCAGCTCCTCATCCCTTTGCCTCGTTCCAAACACCCATTCTACCTCAGCCCCCTTACAGGCTTTTTGATCCTGAGCTACAAGTTTCATCTTATTGCTCACAACCAGCTGCCAGCTCTTCGGTGACTGTAAGAACGGCCGCAGTAAATACTTACTGCTACATGAGGCTTACTAATCGTCAACAAGGCCAATAATACGCCCCGAGAATCAGATTTCATTTTTTTCCGTAGTTGCACTAATGTCGTGCATGCCGTTCATTAGACGGAGAATCTGATTGTTTTTGTGCGCACAATAAAATTCTTTGAACATTCTTCCTTTCACTGCTTCCGCTATCACAGCTAGCTTTCGCTCTTCAAAATATGTTCCACGCCAGCTATCACTGCCTTCAACGGGGTGATAGTATTGAATACATAAACCACAAGCTTTCGAACGGAAATATCAACGGTACTGTAAATCCATGCCACTTGCAAGCTATCTTTAGCGGAAATTGTCGTACGTATTTTCTAGTTCCTGGTCCAAAATATGCAGCTCTTCTCAGTCTAACACCGTTTAGCAGTAGGCATACCAACGCCTTCCTTTGTAAAGAGATGATTTTAGGTCCATTTTCTTTGTGTATAAAGAACCATTCGTCTTGCAAGCGCTGTTTGCGATGACATTCGTTTCATCCATGAAGCGTAATCCAGCTGGTCGTTAATAATGCTCAAGCGACTTTTGTAGTCCAGCTTGCGAAGTACCATCTCAATAAGGGCTGTGAAGAAACTGTGCGATTCGAACCCCTTACTATAAGCTCTTCTTCGTCACTAAATGGATTCGAATGGAAGAAACAGACGTTTGTCAAGTCTATGGTCACATACTTCGAAATTTCCAAGTCCTCTTCAATCTTTTCGTCTGCAGGAGTTCGTAGCACATCACTCAGTTCTATGTTTTTGAACACGAAGAACAGGAGACAGGAAGAAAGACATACATCCCTGTGTTTTACATCAGCTGGTTTGCAAAAAAATAGTTTCTCCGGAACCCGACTTGCTCTTACGGCCGCCGTTCATCAAAGAGTTTTGCTTGTCGATTAGTAATAATTCTTGCAAGCAGTTTGGCAGATCAGACGGTATTTTTTCAGATCTTATCGTCCTTCTTGCAGCAAAAGCGATTTTCGACTCTTTCCAGCTTCTGCTGGACACCTTCCTCTCAACGAAGACCGAGCCAGACAGCGAAGAGCCACCAAATTCCGTGCCCTCCGATGGTAAAGCGGTTACTGCCGGAGCCTCCCGAATCTTCCTTTTGGAGGGCCTACGTGTTTTAGCTTGCTAAAAAGTACAGAAGAATTTTTGGGGTACGCTATATCAAACAGCATGATGGCTCCGAAATGTTCTGCTTGAAAATGTAAGAATTTTGGCGCGTTTAGCATATTATCAATCAATATTTTAAAACATGCTAATAAGTCGTGGTTTCAGTACTTATTATGATACGTAGCTATATACAGCTGCTTTTATCATAAATCCGTATTAAGACAGTGCTTACCCAAAACCGATTAGCCTTCGGAAATTGAAAAGATTCTTTAAAGAATTCTTATTCTGCAAAAATGATTTTCTCCTGAACCTATTTTTCCCTTTAACAAAGACAGATCCCGAAGTTTTGGGGGTCCTGATGTCCCACAAAACATCCATTTCACAGTATTAAAAGAACAGGACTAAGCAATTTGTTGAGGCAAGGAAACGATACCAATAAGTCGATAGAGTCGTGTTAAAGCGCTTGACACGGACAGCGAAGGATTATCCAGGAGTTCGGTGATAAGTTTCGCATAGCCTTCACTCTCTTCACGCAGCAAATTGAATTTCACTTGTTTAAAGCTGAAACAGCCGAAATTTATGCTGGCAGAAACAACCACATCAAGCTTCTTGTACTAAATAGAACTTTAAATTTTTTAACATAAGAACCACTGAAAAATGCAATTTGCTTGGCTCTGATCGATAGATATCTCATTTAGCCGCGATTACTACCCGAGACAAGTTAAACTACCACTCAAGGCACTTGCGAACAGATGTATATATATATACACTTGCAAACAGACAATGCTTTCCTGCTAGTATCGCCGATAAGCATCAATTAGAGCCTAATTTATGTGAAAGTACTCGCACCATCACCAACTACTACAACCATTTCTTCTTATCCTTATCTGTATCCACAGCTTCTTAACAGCAACGAAATAATCTTGCAAAAGCAGAAGAGCAACAGCTGTCGCAGCTGAATCCCAGTAACGGCGGAAGCACCACAATAATGAAAACGGTGTTCAAACTTAATCATAGTGATAACTTATTGAATGCATGGGTGCAAAACACTAACAATAGTCTCGTTTTTGTCTTGACAATTCTCGAACGTGTTGCCTGCTCGCTGGCACCAAGAACATCCAACTCACATTTCAGAATATCGCTCGCCACAATCTACAAAAAACTTTTTCTACAGAAACTCTTTTTATCCAATTCTCAACAAATCTTCGACAATATTTCTAATCCTCTTCTATCTTAATCTATAAATTATATGTCTGCGTGGTTTTGCATACGCACCCGCACCTTGCACATACAAATATACACACATATGTATCATATATATATAATATACATGTATAATTACGAGATATGCGTGAGTAGATATAATGGCAAATGAATACACATATATATACATGTATATGTACATATGTACATATTTGAAGAAAACTTACCCGATTGCTGAGCTGTGCAATAAAATCGAGGAAGCGTTTCCGAGATTCATCACTCTTTTTCTCGGCGCTTAATTCCACATCCACAATTGTCAGCACATCAAGCAATAAGCTCGGAATGTTCTCTGCCCTTTTCTGCAAAAAAAAGTACCAAAAATTCATGCTCATTGTTCACCGCCATTTTAGAGGAACAATTTTGAGCAATTCTGTTATTACCATTAAGTACGCAAAAAGAAAGGCCACCAGTAAGAGAAAAAGATCCAATCAGAACTCTTTTCGAAGCATCATAATCTGCAGGTCATAGGCTAACATTCCACTATGAGGACAGATTACAGATAGGATATCACAGGAAGATATCGACTGTGGCAGATTTCACAAGTTTAATGCCCTTTCAGTTAACTAAAATGCCAATTTTTGCAAACAGCAGGTCGACTTTGCGAGGTAGCACTATAAATTTCACTACTGCCGCACTAATTATAATAACAGTACAAAACGCATATTATCACGGGGTCGTGTGTGTGTGTGTATGTGTGTCCGCAGCAACTTGTTCGCAACTTTCAACTTCCTCGATGCATTCCAAAAAAGCACTCAGCTTATATTGTAACAAGAGGTAGGAAGCTGAAAATTTAGGGGAATGTCCTCTACTCACGTGTAACCTCGCAAAATTTAAATTCAGCCCTCCCGTGCCCGCGGGTAACATATATGGCCCCGTGAAACTTTTGGCAGATAAATTATTATCTCGGGAACCACGGAATCTGGGAAGCTGAAAATTTTGGGGGACTGTTCCCTGCCCGCGTGCAACGCCCCAAATTTAAATTCAGAGCAGTGAAAATCATTAATAGGCAATCGTTCGATAGGCTGAATTGCACAAAACGCATGACTGCATCGGTTGCCTTGCTACGCGCCGTTATTTAATTTTTTTTTACAGCATAAAAAATAAGTTTTTGAAAGAAGAAAGTAACCGTAAGCGTCCGGACGAGGTTGTAGCCGGCATCCGGTGAGAGGTCTCCGTCCACAACACGATTGCAAATCTGCAGCAATTCCACCTGAGGGCTGAGTATTTCGGGTGCTGAACTCATCCTGCACCTCTCTGCTCTCAGTCCTGAAATTCGCGTTAGTTTACATTGGAATGCATAGCAAATTACACATTGAACGATAATTTGTGCAGGAAAAACGACTTTCCGTCGGCACGCTTCATCTTGAACAAAAATTCCGCGAGGCATCTGCTACGTTTGAACCGCTTGTTTTTGCGATTTA